AAAAAGCAACAATTAAATTTATTGGGTAAAATCAGAAGACTTGAAACCCCTCTGGAAGACACTCCCAAAAGAAAAGAGTTGAACCCTGATACCCTTGCTGAGCCTAATATAAAGCTAATATCCCTCACCCACAGGTGAAGGGTGTGTTCACCCACACCAACATCTACTCTTTGACCCTGCAGAGGGGGCCACATTGGAAGAATCATCCAGACAAGTCTGTAACCAGGGACCATCTGGCAAAAGGTGGTCTCTGATGCATGATTTCCTGAAAAGTAGCCAATCATAGGCAAGTTTCTTTGTCTGGTGGGTAACACTTTTAAAGTGATAAAAGTTGACAGGTGTGAGCAAGAACAGGTCCACAAGCGAGAAGGGGAGGCTGGCCACACATGGAAATCAAACCGCATGGAGGCAGAGAAGGAACAAGCAGTTGTGTGATATACTGGGTCCTGTGGGACTCTATTTGTGCATGAAACATGTTAAGCATTTGGGGAGTAATTTATGAGCGTCTGTATGACATAAAGATCCACATTGGAGCACTTAGGAATGAGATGATGAAGGTCTACCACCACCAGTAATTTGGTGACTGTATTACCCTAGAGGCTTACCACTTACAGTACCAATGAAGGGAGATTTGAGCAAATGTAGGATGTGAAAGCGGAATTGGACCAGCAATCAAGCTGATGAAGGTGTCAAGACTCAGAAAAAAGGACCCAGATTTCAGGCAGACAGAACAGGTTGGTATAAAAATAAATGCTTCTCGATTACGCGGTTCGTCAGCTGGGACCAGCTTGCTGGATTCACTGTAGAGATAAACACTCACCACTAGACTCAGACAGGGAACAATAACGAGCATGTGAGTCACTAACCTGGTTCTTAGATCTGTCCATGTCCAGAGAAAGGAGTGGGAACCAGTCGGATGACTTATCAATAGCTTGCAGTGGGAGAGTTCCAGGAGTAAACTCCAGCAGACTGAAGAGCGGAAGCCAGCAGACGCAGAAGAGCAGAGGCAGAATCCTGAGCAAGTGTCGAAGCAGATGTCCAGACCGGAAGATCAGAGAGACGCAGAGGTACCAAAGCGAAAATTCAAGCCAGGGTCAGGAAACAGATTCAAGGTCGTTAACAGGCAAAGTCCGAACACAGAAACAGGCAAAAACAGACGGAAACAGGGGCAAGCTCAGGAGTCCAGAGACCGAAGCAGGTCAGGGTCAGACAGTCAAGGCAGGCAGGGTAGGCTAGATAACTCTCACACTCGGCTTGAATAATCGGCCACTGATGGCTGGAAAAAGGCAGCATAAATCCAGCTGTATCTCATCTGATCCATCTGGCTCTTTAGCGTCCCACTTGCGTCTCCCTGGAGCTTCAGAAATTTATAAAAATATTTTTTTGTTTGTTTCTTTCTTTCAATATGTTGTGCAGGAGTTCCAATGGTCTCGGACCATGGATACCAAAGGGAAAAAAAGGAAGATAGCTGTTGAGAAAAGAGGATTCAAAGAATGGATGGAATCATTATCAATGTGGCAGGATTGCCTGCATTTTTTGCTTTGTAATGAGAGGTTGTCAAAAAGTAAAGAGAAAAATTTGGAAAGGCATTTCAAGGAAAGGCTAAATATGCAGCCGAACACAAAGTTGTGAGTGAGAGAAAGAATGCGACTGAAGAACTTATGGATAAATTAGAGGAGTGCAAAGATAGATTTAAGAAGTGGATTGCATCTCCAAACTCCACTTCTTCAGCTAGTTTTCTGCTAGTCAGTTCCTGCTTGGTTCCTCATGACTCTATCAACTCCTCTCAACAGAAACACATCCATCATAGAAAAATTCCTTTATCGTGTTTCTATAATTTCATCAATGCAACAAAACCTAAACCGCCCAATGAGAGTTCACTGCTTCTCCCTCACCTAATGCTACTATGTGACATTTGCTCCAGGATATACATTAAAAATTAACATTTAATCATGAATGCTTATTATATATTTAAGCCCATGTAGTCCTTTTCTACACTTAGAGCCCGTGTTGCCATACAAGGCATATATACATTTTTGCAGCTCCAGACAGGATATTTTTTGGTCCAATATGGCTCTTTGAGCAGTTTGGGTTGCCGACCCCTGTCCTAACAGATAGCCACTTTTACAAACTACCACAAAATATTATTGTGAAGTGGAAGAAAAAAATGACAAAGCGTAGACATAATTAGAATTTTGTTATGCTTGCACGCAAACATTTTTTGCGGGCTTTGCTAAACAATATTTCTAGTTGAAATGTAATTTTCTATTTTACAACTTTATCCAGGAATCTTCAGAAAATGTTCTGTTTATTACTTTTTCTATATTATTGTTGTTTTAGATTTCTTTATCAAAATACTTTATACCTTTTTAATGCCTAGGCTTGTAATATTAAATTTTGTTGAGAGCATTAGTACAGCAAATGGTCATTTAGTACAGCAATGAGTTAAAATTTTCTCATTATGGTTTTTATGTTCATCCAGTGTCCTGCTGTTTCTGTATTTTAGTTTTTCCTCTACGGTGAGGTTTTAATTTTCCTTTGAGTCTTGTTTAGTTCCCTTAGTCCATTATTCATTTTCCCTGTCTCTTTGGCTCTGTTCCACAACTTTTTAGATCCCCCTGATATACTCATAAAATATATTATTATCTACCCTTTCCTCTACAGCTTCTATAGGTGTCATTTTCTAGTATTTTATCTCAACAGACTAATTCTTTCTGCTATTCTCTGTGAGTTCTACTTATTAAGAACACTTTTTTTTGCAACAGTTGGTCTCTACTTGGGTCCTTAATGAACCCAAATCCACCATAACTCTCAGGCTACTAATTCACAGGCTACACAAGGGAGGATTAATAAGAGTAGTAGCCAGTTGCACAGCAAGAAACCCAGCTTCCATTTTTAGGAAATACTTTTTAGGTAAGTAAAACGTTGCAACACTAAATGCAAAATTCAGTTTTACATTTTTAGAAAGAAAATCATCAATCTGCACATATCCTACCCAAAGGAAAATGTGGTGATGGCAACATCATGCAGAGTTGCTTACCTTCTCCTTACCTCTTTTAGGGCAGGGTTAAGGCTGATTTAAGGCTGATTTATACTTCGAAACTAAGTCGTCTGCATAGGTGTTCAAGTGAACGCAGAGACGTCCCTGTCCCCTCCGCAGACACTCTGCTGCACCTCTCCCAAATTCTAGGTGACAGCACACAGTGCCGCAGACAGGAGGCCTCTGATTGGTCAAATCTACACCCACCCTGCAATATGCGTATGTCCTGTTTGGTAATTACTTGCTTGTTTTGTTTGTATGACCACCATTGCAGAAAACGACTCATGAAGTTGGACCAGCTAAAAGAGCGAGGTGCGCGAGAACGCTGGGACCCTTTTTCTACCTGGATCCCCCAACTTCCTCACCGCCTCGGCCATATCTAGACACAGCTGGTTCGTGATTGTCCTTTTTGCGTTGTGTCGTGGAAAAACATAGCGCAGGCCACGATTCAAAATTCAGCATAAATCAAAAATATCTGCAACAAGCTCACTGCAACACACTGCTGCAGTAGTATAACCAGCCCCTTAGCGGCTCATTTGTGCACATTAGGCAATCACAAAAAAAAAAGGGACGAATGCTTTTGAAGTATTTTAAAATTAAACTGCTGTTTTTATTGGACAAAATGCTGCTGCAGTAAATGCAATAAAATGTTTTATGATAATTCAGATCTGCATTTGTTGTTTTATTTTATTTCAGATATAACATGATCCAAACCTAGAGCTCTAGTGTTATACATGTGTTCCATTGGGTGGGTCTAATTTAAAGTCTATAGCTCTACAATCTTTCTCTAATCTTTTCTCCTTTTTTTCTGTTTTCTTTCCTGTTCTACATACATTGCAGTGTCCATATAATCTGTAATACTCCGTGCATAATTATAATAAAGCTATTTTCATGCATATGGAAATAGCTGAACTGCTCCACTGTTGAAACTAAAATCTGTTGGGCTCTTTTTGGCATCAAGGCAATTATTCTTATTGCCTCATTGCCAGACAGGACTAGGGCTGGGTAATTTTCGCCAAAGTCCTATATTGATTCGATTTTGATTCATACAGTTCTAAATCGATTAATTTTGATTCAATTTATTTTTAAAATAATGAATGTGGTTCAAATGTGTTTCAAAATACTCAGGTATTTTATTTTTTTCCTGTCACATTAAACACAAAGCGCAAACTTGTAAATCGGACAGTTTAAACTTGAGATGTGACCAAAACTGTCTCAAAGGTGCAAACTTGTTTGTGAAAAGTGAAAAAGTGAAGCCTCACTCGAGCAAGCAGAGGTGACACAGCGCGTACACAGCAGACATGCATGAGCTGCACTATCTTCAATGCACAAACCATATTTGTAGTGTTGCCTGTATCAACTACAGGGTGTTTTCTGGTCAGCCTCCATTTGTTAATGTCTTCAATCTACCTATTGGCTATATTTGCAGCTGTCTGGCTTGAAGTAATCTTGAGTGCATCTTTCCTGCTTATTGGAATGTGAACGTCATGCACGTCACTATTAAACTAATCAATCTTATTCCCTAGACATCGATTTTGCAAAAATGTAAAGGAATCGATTCAAAATCGATTTTTTTACCCAGCCCTAGACAGGACAATGCAAAAAAAACAAAAACAAAGAAAAAACAAACAAACAACAAAAAAAATCTTAGTATTTCTATTGTGACAGAAACTAAAACAATCTTTTAGGTCCTCTTTGTCACATTTTGTATATTTTCGTACTTTTGAAAGTTACACAAAGGTCTATTTTTTTTATTTAATCTCAATATTTTGTTTTAAATTATAAGCATAATACGAATGAATGTAAAGGTAATGTAATAAACCCTAAAGTCAGTGAGTTGTTTTGTTTGTTGTTGTTCTCATGGGGCTGTTTGTTTACCTTTTTGTGACACGTGGAAGAAACGGCTGGAGGCGGGGGAGAGAGTCCAGACAGGGAGGGGAGGGGGGGATTAGCGCAGCAGTGTCAACAGCGACGATCCAAACACTGGAGTGAATGAAGAAGCCTGATACAGGACAGGAACTCGATTTCAGCAGTTTGCCTTCTTCCTTCAATCATCAGCCTCTAACGGACAAGAATGTCTCAGTCCGACACCGAAACAGCAGAGGATGGACTTTACGGTAAGTGATGCTGAGGCAGGAACCAGGCCGGGCTCCTCCTCCTCCTTCTGTATCATAACACATACACGCTTATCTTTCACAGCAAGGCTGATCCTCTTTGTTCTCTAAATTATTTAATTTGTGGGCGCAGCTCTCTGTTTTTGTTATTGTTAATTTAGAGAAAATTTGGCTAAAGAGAATATATTTTTATGTATGTAAATATGTTCAAAACAAATTTAACCATGAGTGGACAAAACTCCATAGTCATAATAAAGCACTGCCACTTTTACTGTTGTCATTGTTGTTGCCACTGCCTCAGTCATTGTGTAAACGGATTCCCTGACTCACCTTTTTGCATCTCTGTAAGCCAATTAGGCTCCTCTCTGCAGGCTGCACGTTGGTTTGCACAGTGGATGCTGGGTAAAAGGTGGATCAGTGGAAGGAGGGGCCAAACAGTGAGGAAATGTTTTGGAAAAAAAGACCTGAGAGCTTCTTCCAGTGTTTATCCAAGACTTAACCTGATCATTTCAGGGCTGGCAATGAAAACACAAACTGTCTTTATTTGCTTTCATTGCAAGAACTTTAACTTATAGGATGCATACTGATAAATGTAAACATGAAGTTGTGATGCTGACTCTGTGAAAAGCTCTTCAATGTTTTGTGAAATACCCTGCCAGGTATTTGAATAATTGCTCTGACTGAAAAATCCTTAATAATCAGACAGGCAGGTGCAAGCCATCATTTAGCATATTTTATAGCACACAGTGTTTGCTCTCTTAAGGCTACGTTCACACTGCAACCTGAAGTGACCCAAATCCGATTTTTTTTTTTTTTTTGCCCATATGCGACCTGGATCTGATCTGGTCAGGACTGTCTGAACAACACAGATCCAATTTTTTTCCAATGCGTTCCAGGCCACTTGGTTAAGTGGTCCTGAATCCAATACGAATCTGATCTTTTCAAATGTGATCTGTGTCTGAACGGCCAGGTCGCATTCATCCAACCTGATCGTCATTAATAACCGACATAGGTCACTATTCTGGTTCTTGCTACACAGAAGCAGCAAGAAGAACAACAACCATGGCAGACGATGATGCATAGAGCAGTATTTTTTTAACCATCTTGAAAAGATTGAGGTTTTGGGGTTTGGAAAGATCGCTAGATGCGCTCTAGCACTACATCCATGTTTACTTCCATAAACACAGAGCATGCTGGCTTGTGGCATCATTGCGTCCTCTACTGCACATGCGGGATACTTGCGTTGCATGACTGCAGTTCACACAGGAGTTTACATACAAGTCGCATGTATTTAGAAATGTGAACATCAACGCAAAAAAATGTCACAAAAAAATCAGAATTGAGCATTAAGGCCTGCAGTGTGAACGTAGCCTTAAACAACTTATTTTACATAGATTAGCTTTGGTGAACAGGATATTGTTTTTTTTATTTATCAGTTTCTTTAAAGAGGCATTTCTGAGTTTTTTATGATCCTGCCAACTGTGGCCAAAACACAGAACTGCAGCACTCTTCTGCTTGTTCTTGTTGCTTGCACATGTACTTGGCAGGTTGTTTTTTTTTCTTACTTTTTTCACCTTAACTGGAATCGCCATTGGTTAGTTGAGCTGGATGACAGTTGCATTTGAGTATACACGAAATCCATCTAGAATATAATGCCATGATTGTTTGCTAGGTAGAATCCCATTAACATGGGTTGGCGTCACATCTTATGAACAGCGTGGGAACCTCTGATCCAAAGTAAATTCAAGAAAACAGACTACAGGCTTATAGGTGCATCAGTGTTGAATTACTGTGGTGAAAGTCTGCTAATCAACCAATTTTTTTGTTGTAAAGGGTAAAATAAAAAGGCTTTTTTTACATATCCCTTTCATAAGATCCAAATCTAAACAATGAGAGAGTAAAACTAAAAGGCTTTAAACAACAATAAGAAACTAGAGATGTGGAGACTTGGCTTTTTCTTGTCAATATGTCTGGGTTTATTTAAAGCCTCAGTGTGTAAGATTATGACACTGGCGACCCATCTAGTGGTGAGCTAAATGAATTATAAACGGCCTTGAAGTGATGCTTATGACAGAAGCCACAGAGTGTTATAGTGACAATGTCAAACTCCTTCACCATACTGAGTGTCCTGTTGAGAGATGAGGTACAGACCGCTGTTGTTACTGATTGCAATGATGTACAAGATGTCGGCTGCAGCTTCAACAGGTAAAAACTTAATGTACTTTATGGAAAATCTCTGTAAGCGTGACATGATCTGAGCTGCACCAGTGGTTATTAAGAAAAAAAGGCACACCCTTTTTCTTACCACTATCTCAACCATGGGCTCTGATCAGACAGAAGATTTCGATGTTTACCCTGGAGTATTAACTCTGCTAGCTGCCATTCCTCTGACCAGATTGTTTGCCAGTGCTAGTAGCTGATCCTTGCAGTAAACAAGTGCATGTTGGCCTCCAAAAAACAGCCAAGATCAGCACCTGCAAGCTCAGTCTGCACTCAATAAAAAAGAAGGAAAACATTAACCCCCATTACCTTTGAATAATAAGTTAGATAATGAAACACATGAAAGCATCTCGGGAAATATGGCTGCTAGGAAAACAAAGAAGCTGCTGGACCAAACTGAGCTGTACATAAAGAGGAATTCAACTTTTCTAATATATATTGAATTGAACGGTTCAACAGTCAAAAAAAGTTAAAAGACAAATAAGTTATACATTGTCCCTTTATAGTGTGAATGAAAAACTAGATTTTTATTTCTCTATAGTTTAGTTCTATTGCGTGCAGTTTCAAATACAGGAAACAAATAAATTGCTAAATTTTACACAATAGTATGTTTTTATCGGGATTTTATAGAGAGAAAACAAACAGTACCTGATGAGTGATATATTTATAGAGTGAAAAAGGTAGGAGTTCACACATTTAATAAATGAGGAGGGGACCTTATTTTGATTTTGGATCAAAAGAGTCGCACATGGCTTGTGGCCATTGCAAGTATGCAATTTCAAAAAATATTGGAAAAAAGAACTCAAATCAAATCTGAAGTCTAAAAGGTATTCCACCCATGCTCCCTTTATCCCCATAGGTGGACATTTAATGTTTATAGAGCACCAGTTGCTTCTGGCATATGACATTTCAGCTGCTAGTACAATGTAATCTTTTTTTCAAATTCCACTCTGAAAAGCCAAAAATATGGCTTTAGTTGTGGTAAAAATGTTCTTTATGATGGTGGCTTTTACTAAATGAATAGTGATGAAATGTAAATATTTTAAGAATAAGTAAGATGTTTAAATTAGGTCAGAAAAAACACAAAAGCTCTAAACTTAACATATGCAGACATGTTTCTGGCTTTTTCTGGCTGTGCAAAAGAAATATGCTTTCAACAGTGAACAAAGTTGATGTTGTACAGTCAAAGTTTTTCAGTTTTAACATTTTGAGCCAAGAACATTTACCTTTATGTGGCCTTGGACGCTTTAGAGTTAATTGATAGCGCAAGATGCAAAAGCAAGTTTGAAAAGTTATTTATGTGATTCTTTGTCTTTGTTAGAAATACTATTGAACTCCTGTTTTATGTAGTGACTTATCTGCATACATGTGGTATTGCCTTCAGCTTATATCAGCTTGTAGAGAGAATGCTGGAAAAAAAATCTAAATCTTTTATGTTTTAACATTATAGTTCTTAAGGAGAAATCACAGCTTATATTTGTGTAATCAAATCGAAGACAAAAAAAACAGTTCAGAAATTTTTCATAAAATTTTTGATCTTGCACATCTCTAAGTATTTGAAATACCCTCTGACTATATGATTACACAGCATTTCTAATTGGCCAGTTACAAAAATAATGATTAAAAAAAGGTCTCAGTCTGCATCTGCAAATTTAGATGGGTCATCATTAAAGCATAAGTGGTTGAGATGACATCAATGCACAGAGCTCCGTTTCGTTGCTAAGCTTCGTTGAAGTTCTGATTTTCAGAAACGCTGGTAACACAAATGCAGTGTGCACAATGATTTGGGTTTGTCCGCACAATAATGTGCACAATAAATGGCCCTTTAATAACATGTAGCAAAGAAGTAGAGTTTTTTAGATAGAAATTGACAGAAACAAATCGTATTTTTGTTATTTGCCACAAAGCTATGGGTTTTTAATATGTTAAAACCCTCCCCTCTCCTCTGAAGCACCTTTAAAGCGTCACCTCGCACCTTAATACTTTTTGAACAGCCATTTATTCCCCAGGAAACCAATTATAAATCGGTTGTGTTGCAACCTCAATGGCTCTTTCAGCATCCAGCTCTTGTCCGCATTACATAAAGCAGATTTGGCAGCTGCACAGATGACTGTGTATGGGACTGCATAGAATCTGATCCAGAATGGCTACAGATAAGTCAGGCAGCGGCGCAGTTATGTCACACCAACCTCTCTGTAGCGAAATAACTAGGGCAATGGCATAGTTCCCTCTGCCCTCCTATCCTACCCTACAGCATAGCATCCACTTCAGCTTGTCCCTCTCAGCTGTTATTTGGGAGTAATATAGAATTAACAAGGTGAAGTTTAGAGGAGGAAGCTGTAGACTTCCATTGGCACATTAGATGAGATATTTTAGCAAATCTGTTAATTTCGGAGAGAGAAAACCGTGTTGCAGGAAAAAAACAAGAGGGAGGACGAGAAAGGGTGAATGGCTAATCTGAAACAGAAATAAGATCTTATGTAAGGCAGCACGCTGTCAGCCTGGGTTAGCTGTGCCCTAATGTTTAGCTGTGAGCCTGTGCACACCATACACACCAGTGGTAAATCCTTCCTGCATTCAGTGAGCCTCTGTGTCCATTCATTCATACATTCTGCTTGGACATTTTTAGAACTTACTGACAGAAAGATGCCTTCATATTTCATTGTGTTTTTTTTCTTTCTTTAGTTTTATTTATTTAAATGTGTTATATGCTTTTGTTTGATGATAACGTATCCCATTCAATGCAGTCCTGTAGGTCTTATAAGGTCACCTTAGGTCATTTGAGACATCTATGATTCATCTTACGTCAGTACAAAACACACGCACGTGTTTATTCAGCCTCTAAACATTAAACCATTTGAAAGGAAACAGAGAGCACTTCATCTACATGACCTCCTTCTCTAATTTGTTTGACATGAATAATGCAGTTTCAAATCCAACTTTTTTAATCAACAATACATTTGATCAATTAGATGAAGGGCTAATTTTGTTCAACATCATCAACGAAAACAATAAATTCATAAGACATGATAAGTAGATGCCCAGATTCAGGATAATTTTTCATTTTTATTTTGTAGTTTTGGATAATTTTTAGGTGACTTTTTCAGGTGGAAAAAAAAGTCTGTGTGTAAAGAGATGTTTGTTAATTTCCTTCCAACCAAATGATGCACGTTGTTTTCTCTAATCCATTTAAACCTTACTGTAAGTTAATCTGATTATTTGACTCCAGTAAATATCATCTACTTGCCCGAGCTTACCTACAGTTATTTCGGTTTGATCTGGGATTGTACTTACACTGCCTTAAATAGAAATAATCAGTCAGAGCTTTAATAAGAATTATAATTAGTAGAATTAATGTGTAAAATGAAACCTTAAAAAATTTTAAATCTGAAGGTCTCTATAAATGCCATTTGAACACTTATGATAATTACTCATTGGTGCTTACACACAAATAATAAATAAATAAATGGATTCATAATAGTAACATTTATTGTTATAAAATGCTTTGCTGCAGGTTTGAAATGAAAGTAGGAAGTAAAATGAAATTGTGTCTACCCACATTATTTAGAGAAAAATATAAGATTTTATTTAAACTTTTAAATGAAAATCTTAAAGGTTATATATAGGTGTATTCAAATACATATTACAGGGATCCCCTTCTTTTAGGATATTTTCAAGCTTAATGTGTTTAATAGAAGGTGGAAAAGCATTGGAGGAAAATATTCTTTAAATATTGTACATTTTCCATTTTAGAGAAGGTCTTTTTATTTGTAGTCTCACATGCTTGCACTTAAAACTCTGCTTTTCCAATTTTATACATTTTGAAAAATGTTGTCATCCTTCTTTGGGTTTAAACTTCCTCCCTGTTCACATTAACCTTGCCCAATCATATCTGTCCTCTCTACTCCAAGATTTGGATTGCTCTCCGATTGAAAGTTGTAACTCTGCCTAGCAACAGTTTCCTCCAATAGAATGAAATCTCTGCCTTCTTTAGTGTGTGCTTGTTTTAGCACAGATTTACCCCTAAATGCCCACAAGTTGGCCTCATTTAACCATGCTTTTCACTGTTCACTGCAGGAAGTTTAACATTTAGCACAAAAAATTATGACTAATTTACCTTCGTCTAAACTTAGATATAGGTTATTCAGTTTCGGGGTTTTTACTTTCTTGCACCAGCCAATAGGGGGCACTGTAGTCTGCTTTAAACAATGTCTAATAGCATGAATTTTGAGGCTGATTAGTACTCATTACTCTCAGAATAAGGATTTCTGTTCTGAAATGTAATATCTTAATTCTGAATAAAAATGTCTTTAAGAGAGAAAGTGTTGTTTTGAAATTAAAATGCAATAAACAGGATCCTTTTTTTCCAAATACTTAGCTGTTTCACCTGTTGCAGAATACGCCAAACCCATCCACACTGTGATGCAATTATATTGATGTTGTTTTTCCTCTTTAGGTTCCTGGGTTGAGGTAGAGGAGTTGATTGCAGCTTTGAGCCGAAGCGAGAGTCTGACAGGACCTCAGGATAGTGTCTCTTCTGCCCTGCAGGGGGAGCAAGAGAGGATCCTCCTTGAGGCACAACTTGAGTGTGAGAGGAGTAGAGACAGGTGATGATCTTTGGCTTCCACAGAAGGATTAAATCAAACATTACTGATTTTCAAGTGTTTACATTGGTAGAATTTTTGCAACATTGACATTTTACACAGCTTTCTTGGCTCACTGAAACAGTCTCTTGTTTGTAGTCCTCCACAGGTGATGACACCACGCTCCGCTGGTTCTCCCAGACCCAACAGTGAGCAGGACAGTGACTGCATCCCCATTCAGGTAATCATTTATTTACTTTTTGGCCCCTGAAGTTTCTATAATAGAGCTGTTAAACAAACACAAAAAGGAGACTGTGTTTATAATTTAATAAATAATTTATAATGTAACTTTAATAATCTCACACTGGAGAAATTAACATCTGCATTTAACCCATCCCCTTGGGGAGCAGTGGGCTGCCATTGCGTGGCATTCGGGGAGCAGGGTGGGGTTAAGGGTCTTGCTCAGGGACCCAGAGTGCAGGTTGTTGGGATTGAAACGGGAACTTGCAACCTTCTCAGAGCGCAAGCACACTGATCTAACCACTAGGACATCACTCCCATGTTTAAGATTTCAATCATTACAACAGTATAAAAATATATCTAAAAAAATCGTAACAATTTTGAAGACATAATTATCTTGCTTTTTATTCAATTACAGTGTTATCTTACTTTCTTTCCTTTGTAAACTAGTGTTTGAGGCATTCTATGATTGTTTATCTTGTGTGTTAGATTATTACATTTTATTTGTAAGCCTTTAGTTTTGATACAAAATATAATTCCCTTTTGAATCATGCAGGAGGAATCTGAGCGACGGGGGGACACAGACTGGGTGTGGGACTGGTCCAGTAGACCTGAAAATATGCCACCAAAGTAAGACAAGGTTAATCTGATTGCTAGAGTAACACTAACCTCAGCAAAAAGCTTAAACTGTTTCAAGATCTGGTCATGACCTGTCTCTCTCTAAAAACAAAAACACACTGCCTAATAAAAAGAACAAAAAATAAAGCATGTATTTTTTTTGTTTTTTTGTTTATTTCATCTCTAGTTTAAAATGCAGGTCAGTTGCACACATTTTCAACAAGAGATTCAGAATTCACTTTGTTTAGTGTGTTTATTTGGCTGAACTTCAATAGCCTTTTTTTCTTTATGTATGAATTATATTATACCTTTGAGGAATTGGAACTGCATTCATTTTTATTTATCATGCTCCACTTGATATTAAATCTGCTCCACTATAATAGCCCATTTTGACAGTTAGTGGTTCTGACTGCTCTCAGATTGCTGGTATCGTTATTTCTTCACAGTCCTCTCTCGTGCTCTCATTATCTCTGTTTTTCCTCTTTCTGGTCTTTCATCCTTGTGCATCTTTTATCTCTGAATTCTCGCTCTTCTCTCTGCAGAGAGTTCGTGTTTCAACACCCAAAACAGCCAAGCTCTCTCAGTGTTAGGAAGACAGAGGTGATGAAAAGAGGAATTTTCTCATCCGATGTTCTCCTCATTCTTGTTCCCTCCCTGCTGGCTTCACATCTGCTCACACTTGGTGTTGGGTGAGGCATATTAACAAGAAAAACTTTCTTTTATTTATATGTTTTAGGTGTTTATGACTTACATATAAGACTGACAAATTAATAAATGTCTAAATTCTGTTGTAATCCCTTCATCTTTTGTCATGTTTAAAATATATACATCTGTTGATGGGATTTGTTTGATTAAAATGAAATGAATACAAATGAACAATCACAAAAGAGAATCTGAATCATAAAAATAATAGATAATAATCAGCAGCTCAGACCTCAGAGAGAAACTTAGTTAAACCAATAAAATCCTTATTACTTGACATAAACTTCCATCTAAACACTCTTAGTTCAGAGAAACAGAATCAGTCACCGGAGAGTTCAGCTAACACAAAAACAAAGTGCATACAGTTTCTAAGCTTATATCTGCCTTATATCTGCATATATCTTCAAATGTCTTTAATCAAAACATGACACTTCAAGGAGTCTCAAGCAAATGGGCATATAAAACATAGTTTTCTGTCAATTAAATCAACTGTTCCTGTTTTACTATTGTGTTATTAACCCTATAAAGTAACACATCTTCTAATTGATTTTATTTAGAATTTGGAAGAAAAAAAACTGCTGCTAAAGACATGACATTTTGATTACTTGAACAAACATTATTTAATTTATATATTGTTATCTTTATTTTGACTGGCTTAATCTTACTACAGAATAAATATCAGCTCATTTCGGGGGAAGAGACTAAGTACTTGTTGATTAACTATTCCAGCTGTTTACCAGCTATAATTTAAAGAAGTGTTCCCATCTGTATGCTAGTGCATGGGGCCTTATTATAATAGGAAATATGCTTAATGAGGCAAAATTCTCTTTAGTTTAGCAAGAGAGTTTTACAGTAGCCTCCTTCTTTTAGCCGTCAGAATTATGCATCGAGAGGAGAAGGAGCCGCCCTGCCAATTTATGCTTCTGATACATAGCCTCTGCAACCATCAAATCTGTTTCTGTGTGCGACCAAACCCCCCGTGCAGAGGTTCTGCAACCATCATTGCACACCTCAAAAAAATTCTGAATACGTGTCGGACGGTCACAAACCCGCGCAGACCACAAGCGGAAGTGCACAGACCAAAAGTAGCTGTGATTGGTCCTTGGTATGTCTGTGTGGTCGTCCTTCTCGATTGGGTTCCAGCGCGCCATTTTTAAAAACCAGGGAACAACTACAATGGACAACTATGACGAAAGCTTAATCGAGGCGGTTCGCTCCATTAACAGAACCTGCCTAGTAACTCTAGATCCATGTCCGTGACATCTTGCGGACGCGCCATTGTTTTTTTAGAAGATAAACACTCCCGCCGGCGCGGCCAAAGTTCTCGTGACCATCTGCCGAAGTTCTTGCGAGGTCTCGAATAGGCTCCCCCTTGTGCTTCGGCCGGAAACCGCTGTGCGTCCCTAAAAATTCCAGACTGACCTTGCGGAAGCATACCAGCAAAACTGATTCACGACCAGACCCAAGCGACATTTGATGTGTGCGGTTGCCGAAGTCTAATCTGCCTTTTATTCTTTATTCCCACAAAAACACCCATTTAATTTTGCAGCTAACAGTGTTGCAGAATATTTAAATGGTTTTTAGAACCTGCTTGCGGTACATGACCCATGCTGAACATTTGTCAGGATTTGCTTGTGGTTTGAGGACCCAAATGCAGAGGCAGGGAGGCAGAAGTGAGTTTCTTGTGGATTTAATTAAAGGTAAATAGACAGCTGAGGCAGGAATCCAAAGAGCTAGAGAAAAAGGAGAACACAAGAGGGCAACAAATAAAAACCTGAAAACGGAAAAATAACCAGAAAACACAACAAAATAAGAATTAAACCAATAAATCTAGAAAACATGGAGCAAAGTAGAACTGAATACTCAAAAGAAAACATAACAGAACCAAGACTGTAACAACATTGTATTCAATAGAACTGTTACTTATGTCAATAACTTCTAAATCAATGTCATAAAGAAAAGACTTAATAAATAACATTGTCCTAACATGGTCTAGATTTGAGCAGTTTTAGAATGGTAGAAATCTGCTTTGGAACTGGCAATAATCTAACTAACAGTTATCTTGAATCTCTGCTAAAAGGGCAATTTCTTTAACACTGGTCCTACTGCCCTGGATATTTTAGGTGATTCCCCTTCTGCCATAAACCTGAGTAAACTCAAGTTAGTGATTAACAGGATTCTGCAGCACTTGACGGAAGTAGAGATGCAACAATCCAGTTTTTTCCGATCCAATCCAATCCAATCCAAATACATGAGCATATCTGTTAAAACCCTATGCAGTTTAACTGTTGAATGCGTGAACCATATATTTTGCCATGTGTGAAAGCTTTAGTCTTGTCATAAATATACTTAAGAAAAGGGTAACAAATTAACACAGATATTAATGTACTTTTTAATTATTTATTAACAAATAAGCAGCAAACAGATAGAGATAATAGTTCCATGTTAAGTGCACTGAATTTGATCTTCGATATTAAATCACCAATCCAACAAATTAGTCAATATCTGAGCCGATATCTGATCCAGGCATCGGATTTGTGCATATCTAGATGGAAGGGGGAGGAGGTAAAGAAATCCTTTGAATTTGTCCTGAATTAGTCATGCAACTAGTGCATGAAATAACTACCATACTGACAGCTAATAACTTCAATTAAATCCAAATAAAAAAAAGAATTTGAAAATTTAAACATTGCTTAATTCTCTTGCAGCAATGAGCCATTCATTTAATATTTCTTAAGGTTTAAAAAAGCAAAACTGTAAACTTCTTGCTTAAATAAACAAGCATTAATTATTTATACCGGTATATATTTTTTTAACATTTTTTACCATTTTACCAAAATATAAAAAAGACATATGGTAATATTTAATCGCTAATGCTGAATAATGCAGACACTATGGCTTTATCGAAAATGCAGTTAACTTATAAGGCTACAGCTTTGGATATTTTTCCTTTAATTTATGCAAGGTCATATTTTCTGTACAAAGGAGGGCAATGTTAAATTGCATCTAAAACATTTTATCCATTCTTGTTTACTGCATGTGCATTTTGATTATATTTAAGCTTTTCCACAATTATTTCTGGGCAGATGAAAGAAAAGATTAAATTCAGCTTTGGAGACTTTTTGGTCTCAGGTGACAGTGCTAACCAGAGAAATGATAAAACACCTAAATGTTAAAAGCAGCTTCACACTTGGCATAAGAGCACTTCTGGCCCTTCATTTTTCCATTCCTGGTATATTACCTAAAGGTTTCCACTCATGGTAAATGCCACCCGACTTTAAGGAAGTTTTTATTTTAGATGCATCCTTAAAATCTGTTTTCTTTTCTCTCTTTTCAGCATCTACATTGGGAAACGACTGGCCGCTTCCTCAGCTAGCACACTGTGACATTGACTGTAGACTCAAGTTCCTGTTCAGTCTGTTCAGTTACAGTCTGGTCAATAAGGTCACAGTCAGCCCTTTCTCCCACACTAACTTGCCCCGTTCCCTTTCCATGGGACTAACATAAAAACCTGCCTCCATGTACCTCTGTCTATCCAGCAGCACTCTATTTTTATTTTTATCATATTTAACTATATGTACTGTACATGTGGTCGGGCCTGAGAAGCTGATGGACGCTGACCAATGAGTCAGACTGCGGTCACTATTACTCTCCAGCAGAGTAACACTGATCTCAACCAGGTAAAGAATAATCAAAGGAAAGGGATTGCCAAGATACAAGAGGAAATAGCGAGGGAACAATGCATCCTTTTGTGAAGGGGAGATGAAAATGGTTGGATGGGAACAGAGTGTTCTGATGAGATGAGGCAGATAATACGTGCTAGCTATTCTCCCTATCCTTGATAAAGCAAAATGTCTGTTATTTGTTAAAAGTAATGACCCTCTGTATGTCTGAGCTGCTTAAAAGAGGGTTCTTGTTCTTTTTGTCTGCCCTAATGTCGACTCTAATGTAAAGACTTTTAGTTGGCTGAGTGAACGTAGAAACGGTTTTGATTGTGTTTTTTGTTCCAGGAAGCAATTAAATCTATTTGACCTCTGACAAAGACAGTCACGATCTCATTAAACTTCACTCCTTCAAACCTTCATGAAACTTTGGTCTCTTTTTTTCCGTTTTTTCCTCAACCCTCAGCATGGCAGTAGTTGGTGTGCACATGTTTGTCTCATTTAACTAATACAGGCTTAGCGAGGCTTTTCTAGCCAGCAAAGCACAAAGATTTGCTGAGGTAAGTCTTGGCGGTGGTACAACAAATATTTTTAGTTTCTGGGTTTTCGTTGTCTGGAGATTATTTGCATGCAGTCCTGGGCGACAGAATGAAAGATTTTTACTAGCAACTGTGCTGTTAACAACCTGTAAACGAACCACAGCATCTGTTGCTACTTTCTACCTGTTTCCATGGGAGGTAAATCACAGCAAATGATGCTGGGTATATTCCACCCTAGGGGCCTTTACTCTTGTCTAACAAGAATAAAAATGCTATGACATCATACTAACATTTCTCCATCTGCATTTGTCATTCATCACCACACATAACCCCCCCTCCCCCCCCCTTTTTTTCTTACAAGCTGCTGCTTTAACCCAACACAGATTTGATATTCATTGCTCTCCTGTAAAGCAGAAGCCTGATGTTTCTGAACAGTCTAAAATACATTTTTGGATTGAGAAACACTGAAAATTTTGCAGGAATTGACCAAACCCAGTGAGTTTATCAGCTATTATAGCAAAGCGTTTGATGTAAGGCCTCCCATTGAGCTTGTTAAGCTACTTGTAGACACACCAAGCTGACGACGCAGCAATAAGACCAAACAAAAACAAGCACAGAGCACCTGGTTTCCATTCAGACAACCACATGGAACTTCCCCTTACAGAAAGAAAATCCAAGATATTTGTTAACCTAAAAATTTCAGGACACCAAAGAAATGTTAAAATCAACATGACTATGGTAAATGGAATGGAATAGAATAGAATAGAATAGAATAGAATAGAATAGAATAGAATAGAATAGAATAGAAAATCCATGTATTGTCCCACAATGGGGAAATTGTGGTGTTACAGCAGCAAAAGGTAATGGCAGAAGTGGTCACACAATTTGGACCTTAAAAATGTGTATAACATTAACAGAATAAGTGACAGAGTTAAGAAAATAAACAAAATACTTTAATGTACAGTGTTTTTACAATATAAATACTTTGTATCTGGAGAGTAAATAATAAACAGCTGTGGATATTTTACAGTAATGGAAAAAAATCAAAATTAGTAATAAAAATAGAGGGGTTAGATTAAAAAAAGTAGTATTCAAACACTGGTTTTCTTTAATAAATACAAAAAGCTTTCCATACAAACCTGGTCCTGGTAGTGCACCTTTTATGCTTGGATTAAGTCATTGCATTATTAGTCATAAACATATCTCAAATCATTATATCTCAGTCATAAGTGGAAACACCATTTAAGTAACAAGTCAACCCAAAGTCAATTTTTTTAAGTTTTAAGTCTTAACAATTCCATAATGAGCTTTTCCTGAAATGTAAATGAGGAAGCAATATTTTACTCTTACTCTTTATTTTTCACGTGGTCAGTTTTTCCTTCAATGAGAGAATCAAGTCTTCTCAAACAAAGACACTTAAGTGCAAGTCAAATCTTCAGCATTCCTGTCACAATTTTTTTCCTACGTAACTACATAAAGTTTCAAGTCTAGTCTGACTCGACCACACAATGTATTAAAGCATAACCGTGCTTTTGGTTTAATTACCTCTTCCAAGGAGGTTATGCTTTCATCTGCATTGGTTGGTCTGTCTGTTTTCAAAGTAACTTAAAAAGCAAATAGACAGATTTTGCAGAAATTTTCTGAGAAAGGGCATATTGTGACCGGCAACAAATTATTACATTTTGGTGATGATCCGCAGCTAGTTTGCCCTTTTTTCTGAAGAGATATTATTGAAGCTGTTTAGATGCATCCAAACTCCAAGGTTGGTCAAAACATTTGTGATTCAGTCGTTTGAAAAAGAAACACACTGCAGAGAAAGTTTCCTCTGTTATAGACAGTCTTAACCAACAATGATGATTGTATTTTTATACATCTTTCTAATTATGTGATTAAAACATGGGGACACCATGACCAAGAGAAACGTATTAACTGTATCTCAAATATGTTTCTTTTTTTAATGCTTACTACAGAGCTCTGTAACCACATTTTATGAACATCTAGATTAATACATTAATAGAGACATTAAAACTAGAAAAGCACTTAGGTAAAGCAGGCTTCAGCCAACAATAATGCAAATTTATGCACATTTACACAAGGTTTTATGAATCTCAACCAATATCAAACTGATTTATCTCTGTCCTAGTACTCACTGGAAAAATCCACCTTAGCGGTAGTGTAATAAGGGTAGCAGGGAAAAAACAACTGCATGCACTGGCTATATATATAAAAAACCCTCTTGTTTATCCTCAGCTACGGATAAACAGGCAACCACAGGTGGAACAGGCCAGTGTAAATCATCATGTTCTTAAAGTTATATTCCCTGTTGCTGTGATCTTTTGTGACATCCCCTCCGCGGGGGGGACGTGTAAAATTCTGTCGACCTCTCTAATATCCTTCCTGTAAGTGGGGACAATTACTTCAAGAAGCTGCTTTTAACACCATCTGTGATTTATCCAAACGTGAGCACAAATAGGCTTTGGAATACATTTGGAAAGAGGTGATAAAAGCTCAGTATTTGCAGAAATATGTTGAGTAAGTTTGAGTATTTTCAGATATAAAAGAAAATTCTTATCCTGTTTTTGAAAGTAGCTCAACAGGACTTGAAAGAAAGCTGTTCATTTCCTGGACTCAACATCTGTCTCTCTGGGAAACACATTATCTTCCCACTTCCATACTGCTAGACAGGAAATCGTGAGTTCAGTTTCAAAGAATTTGGATGTAACAAAAGAATATAGTAGAACTGGCACAGCGTCTGTGCCTTAACATTAAAACATCGTCAGTTATTTGATTTGCTGTCTCAAGAAACTCTACTTCACCACATGTGCTGGTGGGCTATTTCCCTTTCGTAAAAAACGTATTGGGAAGACTTGGATATTATCATTTTATAGACTAGACAAACACCTTTTCACTTCAAAATCAGACATATATTATAATACATACAATTAAACACAATGTGTAAAAGCAGTATATACAAATATACAAAACCCTTTTTTGTCTCCCATCAGTGTAGACAATATATTTCCTGTCTTAAAGCTACAGTGTGTAATTTTCAGCGACATCTAACCTCCAGACTGCAGACCGCAGCAACATGAACATCTCCCCCCCACCGCTTCTCCCCCCAACAGTACGGCGAGCGTTACGGGACAAAATGTCTTCCACGACGTCCGCATCACCTACCTTCTCAAGTGATGAGGTTTGATTACATAGATAATTTTACAGATAGTATTTCATTAGTCTGTGTAGGGTATAGATTTCATGTAGACTTAAGATAATAAATATACCCGTTATTTTTTCTACATCGTTGTGACGTTTTGGTGAGCTGCTTTGCATGGTGATACAAACAGACGAAGTAATTGTAGTCATTAGTTTAACAGCGAGATTGTGTTCGGTGGAAGAATATATATTCCCCGTTTACAGAGTCCAAGTCTTGTTTATGGCACGGGGGTTACAAGGCGAGGAAGAGGGCAGAGAGGCCGGGGTGAGCGTGCAGCCAGGGCCAGGCGAGAGAGAGGTGCCAGCGGGGTGACTAGAGCAGAGGAGGAAAGGCTTGAAGATCTCCAAAGGAGCCGGAGAGAAGTAACCGAGGTATATATCCAGAAAATTATTTTACAGAAAATTACTGAATCATTACCTGTGAAACGTCAGGGACGTTGCTGAATAAGTATACTGGAGAGTAACAGCATCATCACGCAGCATGTTATTGTAATGTGCGATCTCGCAATCGCTAGATTGTTGGCTCTACGCTGCCGTAGCGCAAAGATGTCTGCCTCCATGTTATTATAAATAACGAATTCTAAGGCAACGCAAATATTAAGGTTAAGAGGCTGAGTTCGTAGATGATGATAAATAACATAGTTATGTATAATATATTACATTTCTGACTGTATATCCCTGTAATTATTACACACTGTAGCTTTAATTCAGCCCATGACTCAAATAATTTTTCACCAAAATAATGAAGGGCAGAATGTTACAAACTTATAGCAAGATATAACAAAGAAACACAGTTTCCAATATTCATAATGGGTTGTCTTAAAACATGCTGTGTATCATTCAACAAGCTTTTAAAAATAGTTTGTATAAAATTTTGCCTTTTCTTCCACGCAGAACTGATTTAGTTGAGATAATGGAAAATACCGTCACAAGGTACTTCCTCACATACTTCATAGCTCGGATGGTTCAGTGGTGATTCCCACTTTTCTGTCCAAATGTATATATTTTAGATAATGCAAAACACGTCGGTTTTATTTTAATCTGATCACAGATCAGCTCTCCAAAATGTAGTATGTTGTAGTTGATCATCGTTTTTTCCATGAATGGTCTTTTATCATGACTCTCTACCTGTGCTTTAAGTGTAAAGAAATAAGCGCTGGCACTCCTCTTAATGTTTATAAATATGAAACAGATACACGGGTAGTATTTTTGTTCTGATCTATTAATTACCTATTAATTGCCGTTCGATAATATTCAAGTATTGTATTTAATTGCAGTCCTATCAATCTAGATCTACTTAAAAACAGAAAAGAAAAAGCGGGTTCTAAATCACATCTATACAAGCCAAAGTCTAAGTGTCCCTAAGTTACTCTGAATAACTTCAAGCCTTATGGTGTAAACACTGGAAAAAAAGACAACTGTTAGAAAAAATACATAAAAGAGTTCCAATTTTTCATTTGTTTTCCCCCCGTATTCTGAATGCAAACACAAATTACTCTCTTTCCAGTGTCAGCACATACTTAAATAGTAAAATAATATTTATGCCTGAACTGATGGTTTTATTGACTTCCATAATTGATATCTTGTCTGCTAATATACTGATGCTTTTTGTTGCTGTTGTGTAAGGCTTTTTTTTCCTTTCTGTCTATAGCCTTACATT